TCACATGGTAAATTATGGTCTACTAGAAACATCAGGTTTGTTAGGTTTTAAATTTCTATTCCTCTTTTAAATAAGAGCTTAAAGACATGTTTTTACAAGTTCAGACTGTTTCCAGCTCATTTGTGACAGTACTACTGTGTGAAGATATAAATGAATTCTAAATGTGCCTCAAGAAAATACCTGTAGATAGAAGAATGATTCTTTTAGTTAGATGCTGCTATATCTAATTTCTTATATCATTATATGAGTGTGCAAGAGTTGTAATCACAAGAGAGTAATTGTAATTGAAATGTCATCATAAATTAATGTTTGGTCTAGTACAAGAAGAATGCATTTTATTTGTCATGATATTAAGAAGACTTATCACCTATTCACCTAATAAATTTGAAGATAAATTCTCAGAAAAATTGCAATACATAAGAAAAAGTGGTCATGTATACCTATTTTATAAAGACATTAAAAATTGATCAAAAATAAAACACAGAAAGAGAAATGACATAATCTGAGAATGCTGTGTTTCGTGAACAGTAAAACAAATGCAAATGACAACAGTTCAATATTTAAATGTATAATAATAATCATAAATAATAAAAGCAGGAACATTATAAACTTTCTGTGCACACACATTCACCAAAAATGTGTTAATTCTAATAGTACGAAAAGGTTAGGCTCAATGGCTTTTTCATAGAGTTTCAACAATATATAAATATTAATTAAACACTCACACAAGTAACAAACATACTTAAGTATGAGTGTACATGTATGAATATGTGTCTCGAAATTATGTATGTTTAGAGAATTGACACAGTGGACAGCAAATGCTCTGAAGCCTTCCAAAATTTGAGCTGCAGTAATGGTTTTCCATGATCAAATTGATTGCTGGTATAATAATTTTTCAGGTCAATAAAACAGTATGTATTTGTAGATCTGAGTTAAATTCAGCAGGTTTTCTGCTGACAAGAGATTATTACATAGACATTTTTGCTTTCTAAATATTATTCATCTTGTTTAGTAGGTTTTTTATAATGATGTGAGACTGTGAAAAAGTTGTTTGGGGAACAATAAAAAGATATTTATGGAGCTTATACATTTTATTTGATTTTTACTTGAAACGAAATTTTAGCTTCCAAAATGAGCAGCTCTTGAATGTAAGGTGTAGTACTTAGATCTTATTTAGAAATTCCCAACTTGTCTACTGCTATAACACCCTGAATTGCCTAGTCTCTTCTGATACCAGAAGCTAAGCAGGGTAGGGCCTGGTTAGTACCTGGATGGGAGAAATTCCTGACTTGTCTTGGATTACCCGTGGCTCAAACAAATTCAGTTATATGATCACCTATAAGAATATTTTCATAAAGTTATAGAAAATAAAATGATTCTTGCATGTCCCTAAAGAGGACAAATATTTTGGTACAATATCCTACATATTTTAAAAAATTTTTAAATACAGAACTAATTTATCATCTTATTAACTATAATAGAAAGCACTCTAATCTAAGTTAGTTGTAGACCTTTAGTATATATGAAATAAAAACTTCGTATTTATTCAAGTTTTTTTTTACATCATAAAGTAGTGTACATATCCTTTCAGGCTTTATATTCCTATTTCTCTTCACTTTTTATCAGCAATATTTTTCTCATTGTATAGTTATTTCTTTTATCTTCAGCCATAAAAATAATTGAAAGGATATCAACTTAATCTGTGGTCAATCGTATTGTCAAGTGATTGGGCTTTCTTAGAAGTAGGACATATTTTCAGTGAGAAATGACTTAGCTCTGAAGTTGCCTAATTTATTATTTATAAATATACATAAGCAATTTTGACTCATTTTGTTCTGATTAGTCTTCTTTAATCCATCGGTATTTCCCTTGTTTTTCATTTATAACAAAATCCCATTTATACAATTCTCAAATTGTCCATCCTCTCTCTGGGGCTCTACCTGTGTTTCTACAAAGTTATTCACATGCCAAAGTTATTCACATGCTGCTCATGCCAAAGTTATTCACATGCTGCTCCTTCTTGGTGTACTCAAATTGACCTTCTCTCCTGTTTGTTTTTCGTTTTCTTTTTTTTTTTTTTTAGTATATGTTTTTTGTTGTAAGATAACTGTACAGAGGGGTTACGGTTACATGAGTAAGGTAATGAGTACATGTAGTGTTTCCTTCAGTAATGACCTATTAAGCCTTTCAAAAAATGTAAATCTGGGAAGCCATGTCCTCCTAAAATCAGAAGTAAGATACCATTTTATAACTATTTGGAGAGTTATTGCCAATAAATGATGTCCTCCTACATACTATCAGTGTTTCAATCTAAGTGTTTCAAGTATCCCTTTCAAAATTCTTAAGTCCTCATTGGGAAAGTATGGTGTTGGTGGAGAGTTAGTTATATTAAAAATACATATAAAAACATACCACTTGATATGACATAATCAATAATAAATAATTGTATATTATCTTCAGATGAAGACAGTATCAATGGTATAACAGAATAATAGCGATTATTTATTGTACCTCTGGAGAAAAGTCAAATTGGTATAGTTGTTTTACAAAATCACTAAAGTAATTGTGCTAATTTTGTTACCAATTCTATTACACGTGGATGTCTCTAAATAGTGCAAAAAGGAATACCAAAAATAACTCAATTAGCTTTTTTCTCTGAATTGATTTGTGACAGGATGTTTAATTAGGCTGTGAGTAAGCTAAGATGACCTATGGTTAGACTATAGATTCTGCCATAACACATTTCATCCACCACTTATTAATTGCATACTTCCTCTTATTTTCATCTTCTCAGCCATAAACTGTACATTACTAGTGCATATCATGGAGCATTGCATAGATCATTTCACCTAAAGGTCTTAGCACAATGCCTGCCATATTCAAAACCCTAAGACAGTGGTAGGTAGTGTCATTTATTTTTCTCTCTACTGAAGATCTCACACACTAAGTAATAAAAATTAAACTGCTTATATAAAGAAAAGACCCATGGGTGGATTCATATAGCCAATGGAATAGCTTAAGGAAATGTTATGAACCAGTTGCATGTAAGTTTGAGTTGAAGGGAAGAAGAAGCCTACATAGGAGCAAAACTTGTAGCAGAGTGAGTGGGTTCTGTCCTAGCCAAAAAAAAAAAAAAAAAAAAGTGAAATCCCTTACTATTTGTAGACCACTTAAGATTGAGGGCTTATACATTTTGTTTCTCTTGGTTTCTGGGGAGAACTAATTGGCTGGCACTTCAATGTCCTGATCTATCCTAACTGATTTTTTTTTTTTAATTGTGAAAATACTGTTCAGAGGAGTTACAATTATATGGGCAAGATAATGAGTACATTTCTTATCAAGCATTGTAGCCTCCTCCTTTGTTCCCCTTCCCATCCCTTCCCATCCTCCCCCGCACCCCCCCATCCTTCTCTCCCCAACCAAAGTTGTAATTGTAAAGTTCGTTTTCAACATAACAACTTTTTTTTTTTAATCTAGATGAGACACACCTCTACCATTCTGTTGGAATTCATTAGTAGGGACTTTTGATTGTGATTCTCTTTTAAGTTGTGCATACTTATGCCTGTTTTAATATATATATATATATTTTTTGTTCTTGTTTGTGAGGCCTGAACTCTGGGTCTGGGCACTGTCCTTCAGCTCTTCAGCTCAAGGCTAGTGCTCTACCACTTGAGCCACAGTGCTACTTCCAGCTTTTTCTGCTTATGTGGTGCTGAGGAATTGAACACAGGGCCTCATTTATGCAAGGCAAGCACTCTACCACTGAGCCAACTTCCTAAGCTCTCTGTTTTAATTTTTTTTTCTTACTGTCAAGAAAGAGGAAAATCATAAGGATCTATTAAAAATACTTTTTCATGCCACAAATGAAATTATTTTTAAAGGTTTGTATTGGAGTAGTATACAGACATGGAAACCGAATTTGAGACGAATTTGAAATGAGAGAATGCCTTCTGTTGTTCAGGTTGGAGAATTTGAGGTTATCTTAAGTAATTCAGTATTTCTCTATAGCAAAGTCTAACATGATTCTGAAGGAGTTGTATGAAAAAAACAAAGTGAAACAAAACCCATAGGGATGGCCTTTCTTCAAAAATGAAAGCACAGTCAAACCACTTGATGATTACAGCAATATTCATGACTTTCAGTGCTGACATTCTATAGATTGATGCAGTCTTCAAGTGTGGAAATAGTGAGTCATACAGAAGATGAGACGTTTTAATAATGAAAAAAATATTTATGTAGTCAGCAGATTGTCAGACAAGGTGGTTTAGATTATAAGAGTGCCCCAACAGAGAATATGTCAGGTTGCAAATTATTCTAACCACAAAATCATTAAAACTGAGTAAAGCAAACAAGTGACTTGATAAAAGCCCAGTCCTCTTTTCTCCCCTCCTTCTCTTTTGTCCTCCTCTTTCCTCTTTTAAAGTGGGGGGAAGGGGAAAACCTGCTGATTCTGCATAGAAATATAATTCTAGTGCCCTTCCTTGAGGAGAAAATATTGGGGGGACATCCTTTTGATATTCAGAAAATACTGAATTTCCTAAGTACAGCTAGTTTATGTAATATGTGAACTGTTACTTAGAATTCTGTGGGGGTAATTCTTGGTCTCTGTCTCTGTCTCTGTCTCTCCTCTCTCCCACTCCTCCTTCTCTGTTTTTTTTTTTTCTCCCAATATTCACTCCTTTTGACACAATTTAAAATTTTTGTACTTATTTCCTCATATCAAAGGAAATGAAAACATTATCAAAGAATATATGTTATAAAAACAGCGCTATTGTAGTATAGAGATTGCCTGCATACTGAGTTGGTTGGCTTTCTGAAAGTCATGAGTAGAATTTGCTTTCAGAATGGATTGTTCTACCAATCTTAGTTGTTTTCCTACATTTGCTTGGATTATTGCTTTGGTATCTATTCTCCAAACATTGTAGGAGAATAGAGTATTCGTTGAGTACTTTATGTTAACCATGCTCATTTTTGTTTGTTTTCATTGTCATCTTCTCTAGGTCTACAGCATCAGGACAAGAGCAAGGAATCACCATGGTACTGAATCACCACAGTGTTAGAAGTATGAATTCAGAGTGCAGCCTCAATCCAAGGCCTACTGGGAAAAAGATGCTGTTGGGATTTTCCATTCTGCAATGGGACAGAAGAAATGGAAAGAGAAGTGTCAGGCAGTTGACTTTGTTTGTGAACCTTTTCTGGAGAAAGCAGAGTTGGTCTGAGTCATTGAAGAAAAGCATTTTTGTTTTATTCTCTCATCTGAGCCTTTGTCAACTGTGCATCCCTTTCTTTTTTACTTTAGCTTTTACCAGTACCAGGGTTCATTTTTGTTTTATTTTTATCTTTCTTTTAATTTTTGAAGCAGACACATTGTCAGGAAATAATGAACCACAGATGAAAATGCTCATTCTTTCAGGAATATAATTTTGTAGATGTATGGTCATCTATTTTTATATTAATACAGGAATTTGGTTTCGCATTGAGGGGCTATTTTTGAGGGATGTATTTTTGTTTTAATATTGTAAAACTTGTTGAGTTCTGTTTAAAGAACTTGCTCTCAGAGAAGCACTGGCAAAACCATTTAAAATACTCATTTTTAAAATGTCTATGATAGGCTCATGTCTATGCTTTCTAGGTTACCTCAAGTGTTTGATATATTCTCCTTTTTACAAAAGTAGCTACAGCATAGAAAGCCAATGCAGTATTGTTTTTACATTAAATCTCAGAGAAAATGAAATTTCATGCTAGCTCAAACTTTTGAGTTATAGGTACAGATTGGAAAGAGAGTTTGTGTTTTTAGGGTCACACTAAGGCAAGGATATTTCAATATTTTCATTTCTTCCAAAGAATACTTAAGCGTTGACAAAGGAAAAAAGTTTGCATAAACTTTGAATCACATGGGTACTTTGCCTAAAGTATGGTATCTTTCTTGTCTATTTATCTTTGATAGAACATGAGTTTATATATAACTACTGTGCTAGGACACAAAATGTATTTCTCCATGCTACCTGTGAGTGCCAGTGACTTGTTTTCTTCATTTCTAATTATTCATTCATGGCAATTTCAAAATTATATTTCCAATGATTCTTTTTTCCTGGAGAGCGTTTGAAGGAATAATATATGGTACAATCTTACACAAAAAGCCCTGGCTTTTTCACGTAATGTAACTCATCATCTTTAATTGAAAAATAATATATTCTATAGGTAATATTTTAAGCATAAAATTTTGCAGGACATTCCTGATTTAAATGTAGTTCAACTTGCTTTAACACGCTTAAAAAATTAAGGTAAAATAAAATTTGTATTTGTATTTAAGTTTATACTACCATTAATTAAATGAAGCTAAATTTGGAAATGTGAGAATTTAACTTGTCTCTAGGCATGGGCCATTTAAAAAAGAGTAATGCAGATGATTTTATTTGGTATAGAGTTTCTCAAATTTCTTCCCTCTCCATTCACATAAAATAGAATGTCCACTGACATGCTCCATTCCATCTATAGCAATGCACATTACATGTGTCACTATTCACAACATGGCAAGCTTAGTCAGACAGAATTCTTACAGATGAATTTAAAATATTTCCCTTGACTATATTTTATACGTTATTATTATTACTATTATTACTATTTGCCTGGTACATCCTGCAAGTTGTTGTAAACCTCTATACGCTCTTTGATTCTTACCTTGCTGTACTTTGTTTCCTTTTAACTATATTCTCTTTAATACTATATCCACATTTTTACCAATCAGGAATCCAAACTGAAGTAATTATCCTCACAAACCATATGACCTTCAATTTCTAGGGAGTAGATTACTTAAATTCTGCCCATTTTGATTGGCTACATTTATTTTGCTTGTAATTTCTCCAAATATGTAGAGCACAGAGATGGATGAATCTATAAAATTTATTTTGTCTTGGGTTCTCCTGAGCTTCAGTAGTTCTCATAGGTGACTCAACTGGAGGTTATTTCTCTCCATTTCTGATAAAACCTGTTGGCTTCCCTTTCTGTTTCTTTTAGAGCAGTTTCTTGAACACACATCATTCAATTTTTTTTTCTAATTAAGAAGAAGGTAAAATATAAACTCTACTTCTTTCCTTATACACCACGAAATTGAATTGAAATTGAAATAATCCAGACAATTAGGTAGCTTCACCTGTAAATTAAACTTTTATTTTTTGTCTCTATATAGACAAAATATTTCTTGGCTCTGGAAGCCTGACAATTCTGTTGTATGCATAAGAGAACTCTCTCTTTGCAAACAGGCCTAAGTATTTTTGGCATGAATAGAAGAAAATCTTAAGTAGAACTAGAGTAAATATTGTCTATCTTTGTCTGACATCCCTTATTAGCATATTATTATTGCCTCCAAATGTCACAGAAGTAAATTTTACTTCAGCATAATAATCTAAATGGTATCAACCATCAAACTAGTGGTGCTGGTTTTCTCACATAAAATTGATTTTGGGCCTAGAAGATTCCAAATTGCTTTTTTGAAGACTATCATCTGGGGAACCAATCCAGGCTGCTCCCTGAATGCTAATCCAGGACTCTACCATTGAGCCACATCCTCAGCCTTGACACCCACCTCTCTATTTTAGGTAGAACCAGTGTACTTTTTAAATTGAACATTATTCAAGCTATCTAAAAGAGCTCTGAACTAGACAAATCTCATTTACCCAAGTCTGTGTTTTGCTTCCACTATTAGTTTATCAGGAGAAGGAATAAAGTAATGTTGTTAAATTGGGAACCTAGTAGCATCTGTGAACTTTCATTCCTAAACTGAAAAGAACTTAGAACCTTTTTGAAACCAGTTTATTTTCTTAGCTGGCCCCCCATTATTCTAAAGTAAGCAATTTTAATAGTATTAAAACATCATCCTATCAATAATATTTGACCACTTCTTTCTATGACTTGCACACTATGAGACACAAGCTAGTGTTTGAACTTACTATCTTAAATACAGGTTATAACCTGTATTTTAAGAAATTGCATTTTATCCCCTACTGAGTGTATCTGTTGCATAGCAGAAACAGTGACATGACATGGGGAAGAAAAGAACATATATTAGAGTTATGAGCAGGGAATGATCAAGGAGGCAGAAGAAATTAATGGAAAAGAGCTTGACCATTGGACAAGTTCTGAATTCTGACTTAATCACAAGTTAATATCTGATATTTTTACCTCATTTATTCACATATGAGCAAAATGTGATAATACTTGCAACAGGTAGACTGAGGAAGTTGTAAGTTACATGTAAATAGAATACTTGACTTAGATGCTCAATACATAACAACTACCGTAATTGTCCAACAATTAAATACGTCATTAATTGGAGCTCCTAAATGTACCCTCTTCACTTTGCACCTGCCTTTCTGCCACAGCCAAGTAGATGAACGAATGCTTTCCTGTAAGACATGATTGCAAGAGATTCCTTTTCTACTACTGCTGTGGAAGTAGAATGTAAATTCCTTAGTTGACTCTGATCTTTTGTGTACCAACTCTGAAGGAAAATTAGTTTATTAGTGGTAGGTAGGCTCAATATGTTTTTTAAACATATTGTAGTATTTTATTCATCCAAAACCCCTATGTATCTCTGCCTCCAAAATTGAGAAAGCAATGCTATTGCATCACCAAAGTTTATATATTTTTTTCAGTTACATTTTGGCCTTCCTTCCTTGGCAACTGAACTAAGAATGTTTCATTTGAAGCTACATCACTCCTCCCCACCCCCTGCTTTTTTTTTTTTTTTTTAAACTTGCCTTGGAGAAGAAATTGCAAAATACGGTGGAAAATATGTTTTTCTGTATGAAAGGAGGGTTGTAGAAGTGCATCCTTTCCCATCTCAGTCAGCAGATTTATTCTGCTAATGGAAAGAACTGAAACAACTTTATTGGAAGCACATGTTGTCACTGTCAGTTACTCAAGACAGGAGAAGAGCATGGAATTATGGAAGTTACAAAAAGGGGTACTGATGGCAGTTAGCCTTCCTGTGAGGGAGTCACCTTCACAAGCTGACAGAAGACAGCACACATTTTATGCGACCAAAATTGGTATCAGCCTGTTAAATGTAACATACAGGGCTCTAAAGACTAAATTTTCATTTTTCTTCCCTGTAGATTAACAAAATATATCTTTCAGACATGATAAGGCTTGTTTGTGAAAGTGCAGTTTGTTTTCTAAGAACATTTAAAAGGTGAAGAACTTTTATAGCCATTATTACAACATTATAATTATTGCTAAAATGATTTAAAAATTAGATAAACATTCCAGTTCAAAAATATATGTCAAAACTTGAAAAATAAACTATAAAACTTGATTGTTCTGGTGGTAGGGGCTGATTGGAGTCTATAAAAAGCCTGAGGTTTCAATAGCTTCAAAATATTAGTCACCTTGGTTACTTGGTCATGGAGATTGGTCATAGAACAGACTTCTAAAATTTTATACTAGGTATTTTTTTTCCCTCAGTGCTTTCTGGGAAATTCAGAACTAAGAGAAAGACATGATTGTGAAAAATCTTAATTATATTTCCACTATTTTTTTTCATCTTCTTGAGAATTTGTTTTTATGATTTCAGATAATCAAATATTCTCTGGAAATTCTAATCAGCTTAATTTGATCCACTAAGTTTATCTAGATGTCCTTTCCTCAATTCCAAGAAATTCCAATAGATTTAAACATGGTGATTTACCAATTTAATTAAGTAAACTGCCTTTTTACAATTTCTGCTAAATATTGGACTCCTACATTATTCTAAAAGAATATTCTTTCACAGGGCCTTAGGTATGGCCCTACAGTAGCCAAGGTTATGAGTTCAAGTCTCAGTACTGACAAACAAAACAGAATAATTCTCCTAGAACAAAAGTTGCTTAATCAGAAATTTTTGGCATATTTTAAGATGTGAACTTTCAAATGATATTTCTTTATACTTATAGATGTACATTTTTTCTACATTATGAATAAAGCAAAAGTGAATGATTATTTACACACTTGATTTTATATCTTAAGATATTTACAATGTTGTACATCCTATCTGATTTACAATATCCCATACATTTTTGAGAGATGCACAATATAGGGAAAGTTTGCATATGATTTCTTTGCATCATTTTAAAGTACATATATTTAAAGATGAAATATGAGTTCAATTTGTTTTTATCATATAAGCCTAGGTAAGGTGAAATTCTTTCATAAAAAATATACAATATAGTAAACTTTATATTTTTCACTTCTGTTAGGTAAGCTGAAAGCAAATAAAAAGTTATCTTACAGCATTGAAAAATGAAATGACAGATTAGTTAAT